AGCCATTATTAGTCTCAAATGGGTTCCTCGTCATCAAACATACACACTAGCTTGAGTCTCAAGGACAAAATGTTGCAGTATGTAGGTTTTTCATGTGTAAAAGAATTAGCACACGTTTATGTCCTTCAGACATCTAGTAAACACAGATAAAATGAACTACATGGATATACCTAATAAAGATGTAATGTAAACTCATTTTTGAAGGACAAAATTCATTATTATTTGAGTCAGTACAAAAAATGTATGAATGCATTTTTGAAATGTATGTCTAGTAAGGAAAAGTTTATTTATTATAAAGAATAGGACATACAAAGTATCTTAAATTCTTAACTTTGGAAAACCAACAACTAGACTTCAATGGAGTTTCTTGAACTTCTAAATTGAAATACAACTTACCAATGTAAATGTGTTTCATATCTTCAATGTATATGAATTATATCATTAATTTACAACAACAACAGAGTTAACATGGAAGAATATGTACTCAAGAGACAAAAAAAAATCTTATTTTAGGTAGAAATAAAATAATAAAAAAAGCAATAACCCACCTGTTTCTCCTGTTGTTGCAATGGCGGGTGTACTCGGAGGTCCCCGACCTATGTCATTAAACGCGATAACAAAGAACTCATATTCTGTATAAGGAGTAAGGTCATGAATAGTATAAAACTTTGAAGTAATACCACTTATTTCACTATAATCTTGATTTGTTTTCTTTGGTTTATATTGGACAACATAATATCGAACATTTTCTTCACTGCTATGATAGGACCAGGATAACCTTACAGATGTAGCTGTAACATCAGATACTCTTATTTCTGTCGGAGGAGGAGGTAAGGCTGTAAGTAGAAATATAAAAATCTTATTTAAGGATTTAAACAATTTATTAGATCAAAATAAAATACAAGAAATATATAAAAAAGAAAGTTGTACAGTAGATGTTTCAGAATATGTCCTCAAAAAACATTTAATAGAAAAGGATAATGTTGCATGTTAAACTTCGTTCAAACCTCACTGATATCCTCACAAGTATTTACCCAACAAACGCGCTGTCCCAGAAATTATGCCTTATACACAAGTAGGTGTATATCTAACAATGAAATAAAGTTAAAAGCCAAGATTTACATATATATTACTTCTTAGTCTTAAATAGGCATATTCCTTTTATATATATATATATATATATATATTGCGAACCGCGGTGTCTGTCCAAGCGTTCGTCTGTCTCCCGTTTATGTCAGCCACTTCCTGTTCTGTTTTTGAAAAGCTGTGCATGCAGGCGAAGCTCAACTTTCACTTTTCAAATGGCGGGAGAACAGGCATAAATAATGTTGATGCCATATTTTGTTTTGTAAGCAGGATATTCTACATTAAATTGTTAGGAATTAATCACACCATTATTCACATTTCAAAATGTGACATAACTTAAAGAATAAAAATGTAGATTTACCACATGTTATTGTTCAGCAGCTCTTAGCATGATTGAAATACTCAACAAGTGCTTTTGGCGGTGGGCGGTATAAGTAGCTCAGAGCTTTAGATCCGAATGAAACACAATTAACCTTTTTTAAAGTCCATGAAATAATTTAAATTGACAGACTAACTTAAATTTTCTCATCACTGGGGACGGGTACTTTTGCTTGTAAGATTATTTCTATAAATATCAAAATTTTACACCGCAATCACCAGCAACTACTGACGTACAAAACTACATGCACAATGAAGAAAAGGCAATAGAATAATGAAGTATAACCCAATGAACGTTAACATTTTCCTAAATTGACAATGTATTTCCAATAGCACTTACCTCCTCTCCCACTTATAGCTATTACTCGACTGCCAGGGTTTCTTCCTTTGCCCATCTAAGCACTGGTTTAATTTTTTCCTACTTGCTTCAATCGTTTATACCCCACTGAATTGTCCTTAGCGATATTTATTTCGTGATACTCTCCACCTACATCAATGCGCCCTCTATCCTGGTACTGTATGTAAGCATCTCATTCAGATAATGCTATTGCTTTTTAAGACTGACTCAATCCCAGTCTCTAACACTGGCTTTCAGTTGGAAGGAAGTGTGGGAGAGGAGGTTAAGTATTATTGGAAACACATTTTCAACTTAGGAAAATGTTAATTTCTAAAACATACATACCGCCACTCCCACTTATAGCTAGAATCCCACATTGATAAAATGGAGGAGCCAGTGAGGGTATTATCCATACAGAAAGTATCTTTATAGGTCATTGATGTCAATAGAAGATTGGCACCCTAGTGGGAGAACTGTACTACATCCAAAACAAGTATACTCCTCACCTAGAACTAAATTCGTATATCATGGGTGGAGTGGTACGTGAGTAATCATCACTATGGGCCAGCCCCAACCAGATAGCTGAGGTTCCACTACTCAGGGTTGGAATTAAGGGGTCTTAGTCACAGAGTGATGCATTTTGTACCACCGGAATCACGACGAGAAAGTAAGCAACACCTAAGTGGACAAATCTTCTCCTCCACCTGAAGAAGTCTGAAAGGCAACACCCAGACTCGGAAAGATGGGATCGTGTATGCCTTACTGAACCAAAAGAAACAAAACTCATTTGGTTTGGAATTATGAACTTTCATCTTCACTTCCCAACCATGTTGGCAAAGTACATTCCACTTGCCCCCAGAATTATGGGGAGGAAGTGGAACAACTGTGCTCAACCAGGAACTCATGGTGGGACCACTCTGCATTCGGAATTACGAATGAGATATTGGACCCTCTTCCACGAACAATGTACTGAATCTATATTGATCGAAAAGAAGGGCCATGCACACCCCAACCAGATAGCCCAGCATCAAATCTGAACCAATATTACGAGTAGGCTCCCACGTAGGCTAGTGCTACTCCTACCAACATCTGGGAGAAACATCCAGGGATCCAGGTCAGAGGACCTCCAACTTCGCCCTCTTTTCCAAGAGTGGAGGAATTCACTCTAACCTCTGGAGGAAAAGCCGCTGTCCACCACCCCAGTGACTGGAAACTGGATGTGGTAAAGACTCCCTAGCCCCACTAGTAGTATATGAGGGGAGGCCTGAGGAACAGTGCTCTGTAAACAATGCAACAGGTGAACCAAGTTCCCTAAATTTTTAAAAGTAAATTGACCTCGATTTATTCAATCCAAATATTGGCAGGGACGGGCAGGATCCTCTTGTGCTTTACTCATGATAGTCCACGAGTCCATCTAGAACAGTAATACCACCTGGTCAGCTCCTAGTTGCTTTATGGAACACCTCATTTCTACAAAGCCTGGGGACTCAAAAAATATGTAGTCACAATAATAAAACAGTAGTCGATAAGTTGACACTACTGATGGAAATGGGTTCAACCTCCTCTCAATACACCATTGCTGATATGCATGTCATTACCGATGATAAATGTGCCTTTTGAACTAAGCAATGCAACATCTATTCTTTCGGGAGAAACTGACTGGATTGAGACAATTGACCTGCTAACATAGGCATCACCCATGGAACACGGAAAGCTAGAAGGGTGATAAGATAGGAATGGTCCCGACAAGGAGGTCCAAAATTCGAAAA